GCTGCCTGCGTCTGCAGGTCCAGAGCAGACTAGCTGCTCTCTGTCCACCAGCCACTGGGAGCTCCCCGAAGGCAGGGCCCATGCCTGTCTCATTCTGCATCTCATTCCCAGTGCAAGCCTGACACACGGCAAGTACTTACAAAATGGGCTGAACTGTTGGGCGGCCCCTGGAGAAGGCCTGTAGTGGGTCACCCAGGGCTCAGCCTCCCGTTCTGACCTGGTTGGGTCCCATCGTGGCCCAGCTGGGTTTGAGGAGACCCGTGGGGTGTGTGTATTATGGGGAGGGTGCCAAAAACCTGGGAGAGGCCATGCTGTTCCCTACAGGCTGGGCTCTTGCCTGGGCAGCAAGCCCATGCCTTGGATGCAGCAGGCTTGGGCGTGGGGTGATGTGGCCTGGGGTGTCTGGCATGGGCTAGAGTGGGGATCCCAGCTGGCAACCACCACAGCAGCGTCCAGAACACAGGAGAGGCTGGTCTCACTCCACCTTGCTGTACCTCATGGCTCCACCACTTTGCCTAATTTGGAACAGCTGTGAAGGGCCACCCAGCTCCAAACTTTCAGTGGGATCAGCTGAGGCCTCCCCCCTCACCCCACCCAGGCGCATGCTGCTTCTCCCTCCTCGCTTGCTTCCAGGTCTCTGAGGAGCGCTCCCCAAAAACCTGCCACACCCCCTCAGCCTGTTCTGGGAGCCCTGTCAAAGACACCCTGTTTCCCTTCTTTCTCCACCATCTTCCTGCGAGAAATGTGAACTCGGTGAGAGCAGGGACCCTATTCTGTTCATCGCTCTGTACCCCGGGGCCTTGAGCCCACCTGCCACATTCCAGATGCTTTTGGACACTCGGATGAATGAACGCTTGCCTGAGAACTCACCCGAGGTGAGGTCACTTGAAAAGACTGGTCTTCCAGCAGCTGAGCAGGTGGGCCCTGTGTTTCCTGGTGACTTGTGTGTTCATGCCAAAGGGGGGACAGTCTGAGACACTCAAGTCACAGGCAGGCTCTAAGGGCCTTTCTTCCGCTACAAAAGACACAGGGAGAGTCTGTGTAAGCCCAGAGGTACCCCTGGCCTTTGCCAGCCCTGGGTGCAGCTGAGCCAGGCTTGGGAGACGCCAGAGCAGCCTGCTGGGGAAGGCCCACCTTTTCACTGGCTTCCGAAGGGCTCCAGCCCTGGCAAGAACCTCCTGGTCAGATGCAGCTTATTCATCTGAAAGTGGGGAGAACCTGGAAGGGAGGTGCTTTGTCCCGTGTTGCAGAGGAGGGGCGGAGGCGCTGAGAGGAAGGCTGGGACACAGCAGGCTGGGAAACGGCTCCCCCACCCGGGACTGCAGCTCCCTTGCCACCGCTGGAAATGAAGTGGGGATGCTTCCTACGGCCCAACCAGACGCCAGTCTGACCACAGGAGAGCAGGTCCTTGTCTGTTCACAAGGGCAGTGTCAGAATTTTGGCTCCAGAAGTCTGTTGCTTACAAGTCCAAGTCCCTGCAAGTGGGTTTTTATACCAGTAGCATGGCCTCGCCCCTTCCTCCCCCAGACTCAATGACTGGGTCAGCAGTCTGCTCTCAGACCGTCACCCCGCCCAGGGTCTCGGAAGTCATGCTGTGTCTCCCCTTCCTGTGCTCGAGGAGAATGTACGAAAGCAGTGACGAGAAGGTAGGCGGGTGGGTACGTGTCGGGAGGTGGGTACGTGTCTGTGGAGCGGGCAGCTGTTGTCACTTAGGAGCCTTTCGGCTATGCCAGGTACCCTGGGCCTCAGCTTCCTCACCTGTGTGGGAAGGGTAACAGCCACCAGTCCCACCAGCTCCCCCTTGCAGATCAGCTGCAAGGGGCCTAAAGTGAGGGCGCAGTGGGCGCCCAACTCCACAGCTTAGCTCCAAAGAGGACACGCCAAGACCAGCCACTGGGGCCGGGCCAGGGGAATGCGGCTCAGGCCTGCCCTGCAGCAGTGGCCCCTTTCCTGGGCAGCCCTCAAGCTTCAAGGTCATCTCATCGCTGGCTGTCCAGTTCCTGTAGCCTACGTCCCAGCCTTCAAGACCCAGGCTTCCTTCTCACTCCCCTTCCTGCCACCCGTCTCCAAGAGCGCCTGCCTGCTCGGCCGAGCCTCCAGTCCTCACCACCACTCAGCCACGTCCCGTACTGGGCCCCAGCTGGGCTCTGTCTGGTCGCCCTGCCAGCTTGTCCTCCACACATGACCAGGGGTTTTTATTTTTTATAAATCCCTTTGACTCAGCAATTCTGCTAGGAATTCATCCAGTGGCTATGCTGGCAAACACTGTAAGATACTCAAACAAAGATGCGGCTGCAGCATCATGTGTAGTAGCTAACAACAGAAAATTAACCTGACTGTCCACGGTAGGTATTAGTGCAGCGCTCGGAAGAACGGGGAGCTCCTGTGTGCTGATGTGGCAAGATCCGGCGAGCCTAAGGTGTTAGGTGGAAAAGGAAGGTGCAGGCCCTGTCCAGGTAGTTCAGTTGGTTAGAGTGTCATCCCCACTCGCCAAGGTTGCAGGTTCAATCCCCATCAGGGCACGTACAAGACTCAACCACTGAATGCATCAATAAGTAGACCAACAAAAGCGGTATTTCTCTAAAATCAATAATTTATTTTAAAAAGGGTGTAGCTCTGGCTAGTGTGGCTCAGTGGATTGAGCCCCAGCCTATGAACCAAAGGGTCACTGATTGAATTCCCAGTCAGGGCACATGCCTGGGTTGTGGGTCAGGTCCCCAGGAGAGGTGTTATGTACTAATTATCTCTAAAATAGAAAGTAAAATGGGAAACAGGACTCAGTGAGCCCCCCTGCTCCAGGCTCCCTGCCATGGAAAGCCTGGGTACTTGGCATTCAAGGCCCCTTGGGAGTTGGCCACTCCAGCCTCCCTGCTTTCCCAGAATGCTTTGTGACTCCCTGCTTTCCCACGCTACCTGTCTCTCTCCAGGAACCCCTCCACCCCCTGCCCCCACCACCAGTGTGATCTTTTTGCTGGTAACCGCTCCTGCCCCCACACCCCTATCCCTGCCAAGCCCAAAAGTGGAAAGGACATGGGCCTGATGGTCAGACACGGGCCTCACACACTTCCTTGCCATCTCTCCAGCGGTGGGTGCGGCTTGTGTGCCACGTCTTCAGAGAGCAGCGCCAGCAGCAGGAATGCCCACGCCAAACCACCCCCAGCCAGGTCCCTCTGGGAATTGCACTCTGCCCAGTGACGCCACCTAGCCCAGGTTCTCCAGCTCTCGGGAGCAGTGTATATCCAACAACTGGTGACAGGCCAATGGTGTCTTTGGAAAGGCTCAGCACCTCACCTCTGGGGGGCCCACTGTCCCCCCCCCCCCAGAGCCCCACCCAGGGCCGCCATCACTCTCCACAGGTGCTGGTCAAGGACTTCCCCAAATGTCCACCTGCCAATCTCCATGTTTTCTGGGGAAGCAGACCTAAAGCACCAGCTGTGTGACCTTGGACATCTCCCTTACACTGCCTGTGTTTCCTCTTTAGGGCCCAGAAAGTGCCTAACACATAACACAGCACTCTCCATTTCTCCCGAACAGGGAAATGACATTTACCTTGCAAGGGTGTGTGCGGACTCAGCAAGCGGCTGTGGCCTGGAGTAGGCTTGATGCTATCAGAACAAACAGACACCAGCTGGACGTGGATGTACTAACCCGTTCACCAGGACACTAGTGAGGGATCTCTGGGTTGGCCAGAAGGACCACTCGGGTTTTTTTTATACAGTAAAAGACACGTTTTCACCTGTAACTATTGATTTGGATATTTTGAGTATGTCAGCTCTCTCCCATGTTCTAGAATGCTCATTGTTCTCAATTAATGTGTCGATTTGATCAGTATCCATTTCAACTGGTCTGCCTAACCATGGAGCATCGTCCAGTGAGAAATCTCCAGCACAAAACTTCGCAAACCAATTTTGACACATTTGATCAGTCACAGCAGCTTCTCCATACACTGCACACATTTTTTTTTTTGCATTTCAGTTGTTTTTACCTTTCTTGAAATAACAGCACAGTACACGAAAAACATTGCGTAATTTCTTTCATCTTCACTATTAAATTGGCTACACAAAAATTCACCAATTTTGATTTTTTTAATGCATACTAATAGGCCAGCTGTCACAATACAATCTAACAAAATTTTCTCAAATGAAGTTAAAGACAACAAAGCACTACTACAGCCATCTTACGGAAGAAACCAAATGAACTTTTTGGCCAACCCAATACAGCAAATACTATATTCAGACGCTACGTATACATAAGCTACAGTCTTCAAAACAAGGCAGGCCATATTATTATGCCCTAAGTTCCAGGTGAATAAACTGAAACTCAGAGAGAGGAAGGTTCTCGTCCAAAGCCAAAAACGGGTTGTACGCAGAGCTGCGGCAGCGCAGGCAGCAGGGCCTGCCCTTGTGCGGGACAGGCGTGTGGTGCGGACCCGCATGTGACTGCAGCCCCTGCGGACAGCGCCCTCTCACCAAGCACAGGCTCCAGCACCGGAAGTACTCTTCACTGTCACTGACCCCACCGGCCAAAAACAGCACTGCGGCCCCAGGCAGGCCCAGAAACGGCCTGGAACCCAGATGCAGGATCTTCAGCAAGGGGGACTCGGGGGGCTTCAGGCCTCAGAAGGCTCCTTGGCTCCCACAGCACCATGCAAATACAGAGCTAAAAACTTCTTGAACGTCTCTGGCTGGAAACCAGTCGGCCCTACAGGTTCCTGGAAAGAACGTAACCCATTAGGGTCCTGCTACCAGGCTTAATGGCAGCAATTAAAACAAAGGTGGTTTTATGTAAATCCCAAGTACCTGGGTAATAACTCTTTCTTTCTCTCACGGACCAAGGAGGGGCCCCGGAGAGTGGGCACCGCGGAGACGCCGGAGGGGCTGGGTGGGAGAGGACAGGAAGCACTCCTAGCTCCTTTCAGCCAGTCTGTTGACAATGACCTGACACTCCCCCCCCCCCAATCCCTCTGACTTCGACCACCACAAACGAACGGTCTGTTGCTCCTTTTCACCCCCAGGGACTGTAAGTCCTCACTCCTTCCTCATACTCTTACCCGGCACCCTCTCTGTACTGGGCCTGCACCCAGGGCTGGGAAGCCCCGGTGACTGAATCTGGCTCCTGCCCTTAAGGAGCGTACAGCCAGGTGTTCAAATGACGATAGTAAAAGGTGACAGGCCTTGTAACAGAACTAGGAAAAAGATGCTAAGAAAAATGGGAGAAAATGACTAACTCACTGCCTTTGATACATGGAAACAATACACGGAAACAACCGTGTATGAATCTTTTTTTTTTTAATGAGTTTTAAAGGGCAAGTAGAATGGGGCAGAAAGAGAAAGAAAAGGAAGGAGACTTCAGAGACCAGCAGGGAGCCTGTTACAGAGGCACATATGAAGGCAGGAGGGGCAAGAAGACTGACACCGGTGGGGGGGGCAGGGGCCAGGAGCTGAACTGGAGAGGAGAGGAGCCACTGACCAAACCAGGACAGCCTGGCGCAAGTGTTCTGGAAGGAAGAGGTTGGAGGAAGAGGACAGACGTGTCAGGGGGAAGGGAGAGCGTGACTCAGAGCAGAGGCCCGTGGAGGTGGCCAGCGTGGCTGGGCAGGGGGACACGGTGTGTGGGGCAAAGAGAAGGGCCCAGGCCTGGGAGGCATTTCAAAGGTAGAAACAACACTGATAGATGCTGGAGAACTAATTCCGCAACTGACGTGCTGATAATGTTCATTTAGCAAATCCGCTGAGGCTCAGTGTGGGACGTGGGTCAGCGGTGGTTGGGTCCAGCAGCGCCCCTACTGTCTCTCCCATCCCCCAACCCTGCGTTATGTCTCCTCAAAGTCCTACAACACAATTTCCGAATGGATTTTGATGCTGCCACTGCCCTTGCACAGGAAGCAGGCCTGCACTCGTTGGGTGGGCACCGGGGTGCAGCAGTGACATGCTGTGGGAGGGGCTCCCGTCTGTGGGATGAAATGAATGATCATTGCTCACAGGCCCTGCCTTCCAGGATCATGGAGCTCCATTTGATGGAGGAGAAAAACATGTAAACAGAAGACTGCAGAACAGCAATGCGATCGCGTGGGATGTGGGAATACAGGGGCTATGGGCACAGGCTGGTGGGTCCCGATGCTAAACCTGGAAGGACGAGTGGACGGCCAGACGGCAGGGAAACGGGGGTGGGGGCTGCCAGGGAGAAGCCTCCTATGCAGCACCCACTCAGATCCTGAGCTACCTAAGTGCTGGGCACACTGGGGAGCTGTGAGGAGCTGGGCATGGTGGGTGCAGAAGGAAGCGGGAAGGGAGGTACAGAGCTGGGCAGGGCCCAGGGTGGGAGCATTGCTGAGGTGACGGGCAGGGCTGAGGGAGTCCTGCAGTCAGAGGTCCTGGGCATGCGGCTCCTAAAGCCAGGGCCCCACGCAAGGGCATCCCCTTAGCCCCACCCCTGCTCTCCCTGGATAGGGTGAGTCATGGCCCTGCTCCAGTCAAAGGCAGGAGACTGCTGGACTTACCACAACCACCTTCTTTTTGATCACTGGGAGACACCAAAAGTGCTGGTAGAGGAGCTGGTCTGAGTCCACCCACACCAGATTCTTGACGCCCTCGTTGGAGGCCAGATCTGTGGTGTTCAGCTGTAACACCAGGAACTGGAAGACACGCCCATCGGTGCCCACACACTGCACAACTACTGGCTGCTCCAGCACCTTGGCGTCACGCTGAGGGGAAAAGAGGACGAGTAAATCACACGTGAAACTGGGTGTGGGGCACAGCACAGACAAGGTAGCTTCTAGTTCTGGCCTTTCCAACAGTGCCTGCTCCCATCTACTCCTTTCGCCACAAGACGATGGAAAGGAGTTTAGGGTGCTGAGCGGGGCCAGGCCCCCGGCCCTCTCCCAGCCTGGCTCTGCCTGCCTGCTGGGCAAGTTGAACACATTAAAGTAGTAATTCCTGCCACTGAGAGGTGACGGCTCGGCAAGTGGCACAGGACAGGAAGGTGAGTTGGGAGGTCAACAACAGGAAGTCCCTCACACTCTTGGCGTCACCTAATGGCAACAACAGTGACATCAGCTCTCTCAGTTGCGGGCCTGCAGGGTGAGGATGTATATAATCCCCTTCAGTTATTCCACTGGACAGACGAGCAAACAGATCCAGTGGGCAAGTGGCCTGTCTGGAGTCACCAACGTGTGGCCTTAGAACCCAGGGCAGCTCAGCCTCAGCCATGCTCACTTTTCACATCTGCCTGTGCCCAGGGGCCGGGCACCCGGGAGGCGGGCAGCGGTCTCTTCGGGGCTTCATGCCGTCAGTGCAGCTCTGCGAATAGGCCAGACTCCTGCGGTGGTCCAGCCCGCCACGTCCGCTTTAGGAATTCACCAGTCAATCCACGTGCTAACTATCTCTTTGAATTAGTGCCGCTTGGTAACAATGACTACACTGATAGCCATTTACTGAGGGCCTGTCATGTGCCAGGCACTGTGACAGTTTTACATAAAATCACTCCCCATCTCGTAAATGCAGTGGTGTATTCCCACTACCAGACGGGAAAGCAGGTTCAGAGAGGCGGCGCAACTTGCTCCACGTGAGCCATGAGGTGCGAACCAGACCTCGTGCTCTCACATCACTTAAAATACGACTGTTCCGTCTATACCTTGTCTCCCATGCTATCCCATAACGGCGCCTCTTTTCCTGCTCAGTGGTGTCCCCATATGGGTGACAAATCAGACGTCCACCCTACTGAGACCTTGCAGCAACCCAGTTCTGTGACCGCTACCCACTGGACAGAGACCTCGACTTGAGCATGCCGCCTCGGCTCACCCTGCCGGGGCCGCACCTAACATCAGGGACAGCTAATGCCAGACCTCGCTGGGGGCCACACTGGGACCGCTGGCCTTGGAAATACCTGTTCTTAGCTGCATGAGAAATAAATAAAAGAAAAGTACCTCTAAGTGTTAGCTGAGAATTTTGTATTGACTCTTATCTCCCTCTACAGATCAATAAAGCTGCGGGTAGTACATAAATTTCTCAGCAATTTTACCTTTTACACAGAGGCTCTTCCCATAATTGCTCAACTTCATGGCCCCAGGAATAATCTGTACCTGGAGGGGTCGGGGAGGCCCCCTTTCTACCCAACTGGGTAGCAGTTAGTGGCAGCGTTGCTACCCATGCTCTGCTGGCACAGAAGCGACGACGAACCTGCAGGCCTAGAAGCCCGTGATGGTCCCCATCACCTTCCCCGCCCCAGAGATGGGAGGCAGCATGAAGCTGAACAGACCAGAGCTTTGAGGCTGGGCAATCTGCTTATTAGCTGTGAACTCTTGGGCAGGTTAGTGAACCTTCCAGAGCCTTTGGGAAGTATGTAGAGAATGGAAACAAAGAGAACCTTGCAAGGACTGGGAAGGCACAAGAAAGTCATGTGAAGGTATGACAGCTGCAAATCCCTTAGGTACTTCAGACAGTTACTCCGCCTCCCTGTCTTCATCTGTGAAATGAAGCTGTTGGTACGAGGGGTTGCTACGAGGATTCAATGATGCAGCGGTTCCAAACCTGAGCTCGTACCGCTGTCCCCGGAGGGCTGTCCGACGCCGACTGCCAGCCACCCCCAGTTTCTGACGCAGCAGGCCCAGGGTGGGTCTGGGAACCTACACTTCCATCAAGTTCTCAGTTGATGCTGATGCTGCCAATCCAGGACCATATTTTGAGGACCACCCTAATTCAATGTCTGGCAGGTAGCAGATGTTCAATACAGGTAAACTCATGCCTCTCAGCATTTCATACGGCTAACCACCTCCCCAGCCCCACCTAGTTCCAGGCAGAGTGGGAGGGGCAACAGGTCGTGTTGAATTCCGCCCCCCCTCCTCCGGCCCTCCCTCCCCCACAGAAGGGCCTTAGGCTCTAAGCTGGCAGCAGTTCCCAGAACCTCTCCCCACCCCTTGCTCCCAGAGAGGCTTCCTCCAGTCTTGTGACAGCTCTGTATGACACCACTCAGCCTGCATCCTACACCATCCGAGGCCCCCGAGGCCTCTTCTCAGAATCAAGGTGCTCCCACCAAGGGGTACCTCGGGTCCCCAGAACCTGTCCTGACTAAGCAGACAGGTCTGGCCCACTCCTGCTCCAGGTCTCCTGCCTGCCAAGTGGAGCCCGGGGCTTCGGTTCGGACACTACAGCTCAGAGGGGAACGCTGCAGACAGACTACCGAAGCCTCGGCAGCTGGGTGTGCCCGGCTCCGGAACCCTCTCCACTCCTTACTGCTGTGTAACGCTGCAGACGCAGCTCGGCCTCCCTGGGACTCAGTGGCATGACGCAAACGCTGGGGTCACAGTGAAACTGCGTGGGATACTATGTCAACTATGGAGGCCCCAGGGGACGGCAGCTCCCTCTGCAGGTGAGTAGGGCGCCTTTCCCTGAAACTCCTCAATAATGCGAGGGACCCTCTCTGCCCCTTTCTTTCTCTGAGCTGTGTAAGGCGGGAGATCACCACGCGGACAGCAGCTCAGGGGTCTCCTCCACATACGTACCCCGTAGAGGAGCCGGGCCTGAGCCAGGGCACTGCCGAAGGCAAACAGGATCATCTTGGCCCTCAGCTGCTCTGGCGGAAAGCGGTAAGGTCGGATATTGGCTGCCTCCAGCAAAAACAGGGTGTGCGCATAGGGGTATGGATAACCCTCCTGGAATCCTGTAAGATACACAGCCGTGTGGAGGGCATAAAGATTAATGAGCCTGCTCCAAAGCCTCAGGAGAGTCACCCCACCTGAGCTCAGAGGCAGGCATTGCCCAGACTCAGTCAAGGCAAACACTGCCACGCCGGCTCAGGGGCTGGCAGACTCCAGCCTGCCAGCCAAACCTGGCCCCCACCTGTTTCTGAAAATAAAGTCTTTTACCAGAGCACACTGACATACAGTCCATTAAGTAGCTGTGGCAAAGGCCACACGTGGCCTGTAAAACCAAAAACGTTCACTACGTGGCTCTTTATGGAAAAGGTGCGCCGCGCTGTTATAGGCAACTCCTGCATGAGTCCACCTCCACCCCTTTCTCCCTCTCGTTCAGGCACATGGGTGACAGGGATATTAGCAGAAGGATAACCTGAAACCTATGGTAGTAATTTTTTTAAAAAAGCAAATCATTTGCAAAATTCAATACTTTCACCGGGAACAAATGACTTGCCTCAGACTTCACAATTATTAGCACAGCACTGGTACTGAGAACCCAAGTCTGGCACTTGCTCATCTCAGCCATGACCCTGCTGGTCACTGTTCTCCTCCCCTGCACGGCCTGGGTACACCCTTGGCAGTTTGGGGGATTCTAGAATGAGTAACCTGGACCAGTGAAAGTGGGTGAAAAGGAGGGAGAAAGAGGCCGGGACTACGTGGCTCTGAAAACCCCAGAGAAGGCACTACTTGGGAGAGACACGGCTCCCCCTGTCGCCTCGGGCCTTGCTTCAGGACCTCGGCACAGGCAGACACGACACTCGGCACCCCCTCTGTGCCGCGCTCTACACCAGGTACCAGAACAGAGCCTTGCAGAGCCGGCACTGCCGTTGAGGAGCTCAGAGTTCAGAGGGGAAGGCAGACAGGGAAACTGATCACAGCTACACAGAGAGACATGTCAACACACAAGGGGGCTGCGCAAGGAAAGACGAAAGTCCTTGAGGAACCTGAACAGGCCCAGGCACCCCAGGGAAGATGTGACTTCTAAGACAAGTTGTGCAAGGTGGGCAGTTATCAAGCAGAAGACAAAACAAGGCAAATGGTCATGAGTCCCAGGCAGAGCGAAGAGAATGAGTCCAAGCATGTCAGTGAGAAGGGGAAGGCGTGTTTGGTGCAGCAGGGACACGGGGGTGAATGAGGGGGTGAAGATGAGGCTGGAGCGGGGCAGAGGCCAGAGCTGAAGGCCCTTGTGTGGTAAGCCAAGGGGTTCAAACTTTATCCAACAGACAAGAGGGGAGGCGGGCGTGGAGAGAGACGGAATTACATTTGTATTAGAAAGGTTGGACTGTGCACTGGAGGGACACAGCCGGGGTCACAGTGACTGGCTGGGAGACTGCGGCAATGGGCAAGTAGAGGCAGTGGGTTGTGACCGAGGTCGCAGCTGTGGAAATAGAGGCTAAGGAAACACGCTGCAGCTCACAATGACTGAGGGGGCTGCGGGAGCCGTGGGCCTGCCTAGCCTGACTCCCGTTTCTGTCTGGGCTGACTGGGTGGTGCCTTTTTCGATGGTGTTTGTATAAATAGCCCCATTTAAGGCCGGTGGGGCTTCCTCAGTCCTGCCAGGAGGTTGGCCAGCATTTACATGGTACAGAGGAAGAGGGTGTCTTTCAAGGGACCTATCACGAATACAGGGAACATCTGGTCCTCATCTAAAGCCTCGCATGCCACCCACTAAAACTCCAATGTAACAGCGATGCTTCTCAGGTGCCCAGCTCATAGTAAGTACTCAATATACCCTTCCCTTTGAGAAAAAGCACGCCTCTCCTCTCCACACTGCCCGAAAGTCAAAGGCTGTGAGACGTACCCGTGTCGTCTTTTTCATCGTAGACATTGCACTCCTGGAGACCAATAGTGGGAGATATGGGATAGAAGGTCTCAAGAACATGGTTCTGAGTAGCTTCAACTTCCTCTCTGGAGGCGATGGCGGGCAGAGGGTCCCTGGCATTCAGTCGGGCTCCGCCGGAACCATGGACCTGCAGGAGAAGAGCTTCTGCAGGGGAGAGAGACGGTTAGTCCAGCCTGGTCTAAAGCCTCATCTCAGCTCCGTCCTGCCACGCTCATCTCTTAACACCTCTTGGGCTAATCACCCTGATCCCAGGGAACAAACCTTTGGTTAAGTTCTTAACCCAGGGATTCTTAAGAGGGAAATTGACCAATGCGTTCTTCTTCCTGCGTTCTCTTCCCAGCGACCCCTAAGACCTGGAGGTTTCTGGGGGTTCAGGGCTGCACCGCACAGATCGTACTAAGCCTGGCCCTACACTGGGGAACAAAAAATGAGAGCTGCGCTCTGCTATGAAGAAGCTCGCTGGGTAGTAAACGCTACAACGAAAGTGTGACTCAGGGACAGCAGAGGTGGGAGGACTGACCCCCTCCAGGCCTGGAAGCTTCTTGAAAACTGCGCTGCCTTCAAACTAGCTTCTGAAGGACAGCTAACGGCAGAATTTCTCAACTTTGGCGCTATTCACATTTTGGACCAGGTAACTCTTTGGTGAGGGAGGCTCTCCTGTAGATGTCCGAGAGCACCCCGGACCGCTACCCGCTGGATGCCAGGAGAACCACCCCCACTCCAACCTGGTTCGAGTCATGTCACAACAACAAATGTCTCCAGACGTTGGAAAATCTCCCCTAGGCGGCCAAACTGCCCTTAGTTGAAAACTGCTGATAAGAGTTTGCCAGGCAAAGAAAGGGGAGAGAAAGCATCCCAGTGAAGGAGTAACATGCAAAGGCACGGAACTGTGCTGCTCCAAGGCAGAGTTTAGGGAAATACAGGCAGACGACTAGGGTATGGCACGGCAGGAAGGAGAGACGAGAGAGCACCGAGGCTACAGGCTGGGAGAAAGGCTACTACACCCAGGGAAAAGGCGGGGCCGCCTTGCATGTGGCCTCCCTTACTGAGTATGTAAAAAAGGGATACCACATCTGTGGATGGATATACACTGATCCATTTGTTAAAATAAATCATACCCACACCTCGAGAATGGTTTTCTGAGTATTTCCTGTTTCCTCACATATAACCTGCAAGGAAGATAAATGCGCCCAGACCGACCCTGACCCTGGGTTTAGCCTCTCCCCACAGACCACTCTAGTGTGGTTTCCGGTTCCACCCCCTACACGCCCCTCCTCCAGTGACACCTCCAAATGGGGCAGTTTAATTAGAGGCAATCCTTGATGATGGGCCAAGGAGCGTGCCTCTGTTAATGAGGTGCACTAATTTCCTTTGTGGGGCCATTACCTCTGCAAAGCTGACTCCTTGCCAGGAAGTCCATACTCGAAGGGGCAAGCTGGGGAAACGTGACCAAGCAGATGCCCTTAAAATCCCACATTACTTCACGGATGGTCTCCCTGCTTCAGGTTTCTATGCATCAGGACACCCGTGCGCTCTGAACGTCCCTGCCTGAAACACCTGAAGCTCAGTGCTCACTTCACTCCCGTCCCTTCGGCCAGCACTTGTCATGGACCATGAATATCAGACGCCGTGGGCAGAGCTCACAGTTCAGTGAGGCAGACGGAAAACGTGCCAGGTAATCACAATACAGCACGGTGTATGCTGTGATACAAACATGCGCGGTGGGAGTAAGGACCACAGAGGAAGACCCAGCCTTGTGTGTTCACATTGGAAGGGGGCCTGAGTTGAGACTTACAGGTAAGAATTTACTCAAATGAGGAAAGTAGAAAAGAGCCTTTCAGACAGAATGCACAGAATGTGCAAAGGGGTAAAAGCTTGATGCCAAAAAGCTGCAAGTGGCTAAGGTGTAAATTTGGGCATGGGGGAGAGGCGAGTGGTGACAGGCAGCTGAGCAGGAGACAAGACTAGAAAGACTGCGTGCTGGCCGATCACAGAGGGCCTTGGGGACTGTGATAAATGGTTTAAGCTACTGGGGGACAGTGAACAATTTGAAAAAAGAAGGTCATAAGACATGTACTTTAGAAGGATCACTTGAGCAGCTATGTGGAAACTGGACTGAGAAGAGAAATGCATGCACAAGGTTAAAAGGCTCTTGAACAGAATATGGGCTTTGTGAGAGCACAGACTGTGTGAGGTTTGTTACTTCCTTATAGTCAACATGTAGGCACTTGTAGGCACTCAACTGATATGTCTGAATTAACAGTCTTGGGAAAAAGCGATTAAAAACGAAAAAGGCTGGGCTGTGGCTAATGATACTGAGAACACGCCTAAGCCCACAAAACTGGATCATGGATGATGGCAGTGAGGGCACATGTGGGGTGTGGGGGGCTGGGAATGTGAGCTGGTGGCACAATTAAGACAGAAAGAGAACAACAGACCACGGCTTGCTGGCATACAAGACGACTGACCTCGGTTCCAGGTGGTGGATAACCTGTAGTTTTTGGCACAGATCCGCCTGGCCAGAGAAGGATGTTTTGAAATCTGGGACTTACATAGCTGTATCAGACTGTCCACGATGACTGGGCTTGGAAAAAAAGAAGAAACATTTGGAGACATAAACAACATGGCGACTCCAAAATCAATCAAGCAGAAATCTTACTGACTTAAGGGAAACTTACCAGTAGGTCTCTCTCTTGGGGATGTCTCCAGTGCAGTGCCAAAGACGGGCGTGAGAGATCACATTCAGAACACGTTCATCTTGGTTGTCTATGTGGTTCCTTGGGTCGTCAAGGAGGCTAAGCACTTTCTTGGGAAGGCCTTCTATTAACTTGGCTTTGGTAAGCCAGAGGGCCTGCTTTACACCTTTGGGGCAAATAGTCACACACACACAAAAAAGACAATTCAGAATGAGATACCTAAGCGAGCCTGGTAGCATCTTGGAGAAAAGGCTGCACAGAGGGAGAGGAAAAGGGAGGGAGAGAGAGAGAGACAGACACACACGCACAAACCTCTGAGGGGTCAGAACTACAAATAAGGAGCAGAAGCTAGAATAGCCACATTTCAACTCTGTTTCAGGAAGGACTGTCTATTGAAGGACAGTTGAGATGGCGAGTGCCTGGCACAGCAGGAGTTAAAACAGTGGCAAAGATGGCTAAGATCATAAGCATCTGTCTATTCAGACATAGCCTAGACTATGGGATTAGATCAATGGATGCCAACCTTTCAAAACCTAGATCTCTTCTATTAACCCACATCCAGTCTCTGACCAGAGAAGGCCATATCTACCCAATGTACCTCATTTATTAGCATTAAGCCCCTGCTGCTTTATCAAGGGAAAGGAGCCTTTGGAAATAATGGAAATAACTTTAAAATCATGAATAACCTGAAGAGCCCTGAGTTTGGGAGCACTTAGATAATATTTCACATCTTATCTAACCCTGAGATTCTATACTGGTCTACTTAAACAGATTTTTGTATGAAGAAGGCCTCTGAAACATACCGCATTTGTCTCCCTGAGACCTTCTGCTCCTCTCCCTGGCCTTACTATATATGAAGGCTGGCATCGTTCATTCTTATGGACATGGTAAACCGCATAACTGAAAACGTTTTTCCCCTATCCCAAGGGTAAACAAACTTTAATTTCTTACAAGGCCAGATAAGCAAGTATTTTCAGCTTCTGGGCCATATGGTCTATCACAATCACCTCTGCCACTGCAGCCCAACAGCAGCCACAGACAAAAAGTAAACAAGTGGGCAGGGCTGTGTGCTAATAAAACCGTTTAAAGGAACAGGCTACTGGCCTAGTTAGCTGCTCCGGTCTCTGTGCCATTTGTTGTTGCTGGTAGGCTGAAAGCCAAGTTTGGGGATCTCTGTTAGCAAGCAGAACCTCATAGAAGAAAATTTTTGTATTCAGCTCATTGTTTTATCTTTCCTTTGTGCTGACTGCCTCATCTATCTATTTTTAATTTAATTTGGCTGTGTTGTAAAATTTCTCTAAAATACCCAAAATACTTTTCAGAAAAAGATGGAGTATAAATAACTGATATCGAGTTGATTCAGACTGCTTAGTCTTTAAACATTAAGGAACATCCACTCCTCTCAGCAAGATGGGCTGCGGCACCAGGCAAAAGTCCCTTGATTCACTTTCACCAGATCTGGCTTCCCTAAGGGAGGAACAAGCACAGACCTAGGGACCTAACTTCTGCAGTAAGCCCACACACCAGTCCTCTACCCACAGATCAAAGTTAACACTGTTCTATTCAAGGATTGTCCCCACCAGTCAGCAGAGGGCTGGTTACTGCTCTGGCTGACAGGGCATTCATCCCAGCCGGAAAAACACCACTTTGACTCCCACCACTTTGACTCTGGCGTATCTTCATTTGAAAAGCTATGCCTGGGATTAAAGGGCGCCTAGACACTTTTTCCGGAAGACACCCTCAGGCAGTTTCTTTTGTATTAATAAATGAAAGGCAATGGGGACAATGAGGCTTTTCACTTTAAGGCTCATAAAACACCAGAGTTAGACACGAAAAGTTAGGAATCGAGCTTTTGGATTTTGTGGTGGAGCAGAAAAAACCCTGGAGTGGAAGTTGGGTAACCTGAGTTTTAGTCCTGACAATGCCACTGTTCCTTAAATTTGAAAGTGTCCTTCGGTAAAGTCTAACAAAATTCTGCAAGATACAGAGCTAGAAAAGCAGACTGGGGCGCAGAGATCGTGAGCTTTAGGAGAGACAGCTCTTTACAACCCATGAATCCAGACGACTGTCAGAAAACAGGAATCATTATTGGCCCTACTTCGCAGACGAAGAAACCGAGCGTCTTGTCCAAAGCCACAGAATGCTAGGGTCAGTACAGGAGAGAGGAACAGGGTCCCATCCTGCCCATCGTGGGGCCTCACCCTCGAGGAGGCTGCAACGCTGGTGGAAGGTGTGGCAGACCTGGTCCTTGTACAGAGGATGTTCGTGAATCGGAGGAACGCGGCGGAACTTTGGATGCGTACAGCCAGGATCCCAGGGCGGGAAGATCGGCCGAGCCAGCCAGGGCACGAAGTGCATCTTCCCCAAGTAGGTGATGGGCTCCAATCCAGGGATTTCGTACACCCTATCCGGGGGAGGAGGCTCGGGCTTCCGCGTAGACCGGACGCCCCACTCGTACGCCCCACGTTTTGGGACCCCATAGACCCCAAGACCGAGCCGTCCGGGGCGAGTCAGCACCCGCCTTGTGGGCCCCGACGCCAATGCCATACCGATTTGGTCTCCTTAAGACCTCCACCTGGAAGCCGCCATCTTCCCGTGCGCAAGGTCTGCTGGGAACGAAAGGGGCTGGGCGCCAAAGTTTTCTGAATGGCAGCCACTCGAACCAGTCAAAGTCAGGGCATCCTAGTCTTGCCCCACCCTACATGCCGTTCTCATTTTCTCATAGGTGGGACTCGGGGGAGGGGAGGGAGCCTAAAGAATCCCTGTGTGAGAGAAAGCGAAGGAGTGTAGGTAAGTGGCCTTGGTTGTGACTGGGACGGGAACAGAAAAACGCCTAGACTTCACACTTGAACTCAGGGCAACCTGGACCTCGAACGAGCAGTTAGAGCTTGAGCAAGACACTTTCCTCTGAGACTCAGCGTCCCTTGCTGTAAATAGAGAGATAGAAAACGCCTAAGCTAGCACACCTGTACAGTGCCCGGCGCGTAGTGGGTGCGCTGTAAGTTCCCTTGCCTTTCCAGCCACTTCTGCCTGCTCTGGGCACTTTTGCCCTGCCCCTTCTCTAAGCCGAGAATGGCCCCGTCTTCCACTCCGGCGTCACAGCTCGTACTGCTCACCTCTTCCCCGGCCCTGAGAGTGAGTTACTTACCTCTCTTTTCCTCTGGACTTCCCTTTCCGCCTCCTTGGAAGCAAGGCCAAAGGTGGAGGCAGTCCTTTGCTCATTGAGCAACATCTGTTTATCAAGTGCCCACTGTGTGTCCGGCACTGTGCTGAGTATTGTGTTTGTGTTCGTGAATGAAATAGATGTGCAGCGTAGCGCTCACAGTTTAATGGGAGAAACAGACAGGTAAACAAATGAGCAGTTGCAACATATGCGTGCACACACACTTCTTATCTCTTTCCCCAGTTGGTTTTTTTTTTCTCTCTTTAGCATTTAACATAAATATACTGTATGTTTTCTGTTTTGGTCTAGTTTAATGACCCTCTCCCACTAGTTTCTGTTTCTTCGCTGATAAATCCCCCGCCCCTAGAACTGTACCTGACACATAGTAAGTACATGTTTAATGAATGAATACTAATAGAAGCAAATAGTGTTCCTGATAGAGTCTGAGAAAGGGGAGGTTCACTGAGGGCCTCTGAGGAGAGATGACCTTAAACCAGGTCTGAAAGGTGAGGAGAGTCATCAGGGCAGAGCAGTGACACGTGTCGAGGCATAGCTTAAAGGTGGCGCCTCCTAGACCAGAAGGTGCAGTGGGAGAGAGGCGTGAGCCAGTTTTTTCAAATTCATGACTACCCTGGCCAACTTCCCTACCAGTTTCCAAAATGCTGGAGAAAGTAGGATTATTAAAACATGAGAAAGGTAAATTTAAGACAGACTGATGTGAATAGCCCTCACAGTGTATAGCTGCTTACAGTTGATGGAGTTTTTTCACTTATCTCACTGTATGTTACAAAAATCAAAGTGAGAAATGGGCATAAAGAGGGGACCAGACCCTGTTCCCTCATATACATACCTGGCACATAATGTGCAATGAAAGTGGGCCAGGTTAATGCAACACTGTGCCAGGCTGCAAGCTCTGTGAAGGTGGGGCCCGTGTCCTATTTACTTCTCCGGTATCCCAGCACCTAGGTCTGTGCCTGGCCCCCAGACCTTATTTGTAAACTGAATGAGCACTCACCACTCACTGGAGCCTTTCAAATGCCAGGCCTGTGCTTGGTGCTGGAATACTACCCTCAAGGGGGTCCCAGCCTGTTAAGCCTTCATGAAATCATAGAACCAGCAGTAGAACCAAGTGTTCCAAAGCCAAGCCCTTTCATAAGAGATGATTTATTGCTTATAGAGGGAGGGCCCTTCTAAAATCTATGGTAGTGGTAAGAAAATTTGGACAGGTTCTGGTTAGGAAGAGCCTTGGGCATTAGGCAAGAAGGTTGGATTCAGTCCAGTAGGCAATGGGCAGCTGTGAGAAGTTGCTAAGCAGGGCTAGAAGCACGTCCTTGGGGCCCATGGGAAGCTGCAGTATAAATGGATGTGGGAAGCAGTAAAAGTGGAAAAAGTGTTAATGATTAGGATTTCTGGGAAGTCACTGATAACCAAGAAATGGGACTTCCTCCTCCTCTGACCAACATGGTGGTTCCACCTCTGCCCTTCCACAGACTTGGCCCATGCCTTGATCCTAGCACTTTATGCACAAATGAAATTAGTGCCATTGGGAGACTTTGGGATGCCCATTAAATTCAGTGACAGTTTGACAGGTTGGACCCCTGTTCTGGGCCAGCCCAGTGGCCAGGCACTGGGAATCAGAGATGAAGACACCCTCTTCCCTGCCCCCAGAAGCAAGAAATCCAGTGAGAAAGCACCAGCCTGGAGACATAAGAGACCCAGGTGTGCATTACTAACCTCACCACTTCCGGCTCCCTAACCTGGGCCTCAGTTTTATGTAAAATGAGGAAGAACGTGGACGGAGTGAGGCAGTGCAAAGTGCTGGGCTTAGACTCCAGCTCAGTCAGCGGCAACTATTTTTATAATGGTTATTGTCTGTTTAGCCGATGGCTCTCCCACTAGGCCAGGAGTGCCTCCAGAGCAGAGACGAGTGTCACTCACCTCTGCATGCCAGCACCTCACTCAGCAGCCCTGTTAGTAAGTGTCTGTGGCAGGAATGATTGGGAGGAAATCAAAGGCTGGAGCTCTTAGAGGAGCTGCATTTTAGAGAAATGACATTTATGTTAAATAACGTTTTGTGGTGTGAGACTTCCCCTCAGTTTGATTCTCAGGCAAGGGGAAGAGAACATTTTGATTTGCCTGTGGAATTTTTAAAAACTTCTTTTTTAAAGGTTTTATTTACTTATTTTTAGAGAGAGGGCAAGGGGAGGAATAAGAGAGGGAAAGAGACATCGATGTTCAATTAGTTGCCTCTTATACACCCCATACTGGACACCCAGTCCACAACCCAGGCTTGTACCTGATGGAATCCAACTGGCGGCCTTTCAGGTTGCAGGCTGACACTCAGTCCACTGAGTCACACCAGCCAGGACGCCTACGGAATTTTAAATGAATAGGTTGCTAATAGGTGAGACGATCAAGTCTATTTCTATGTAAACGGTAGAGTTCTACATATAAATATGGATGACCTTGAATAATCCCAAACTACTCTCACAGAAACATCTCTAGCCTGGGCTGGGTATGTTGTAAAGATAAAAGAGATGCAGCAATTTGATGGGCGATTCACCAACAGTGCTGAGTGAAAGAAACGACATGGTTCTTCATAGGTAAGAACATCATTCATGTGACTTGTAAAGTCTGAGCAGAGCTGACCCGTGGTGGTTAGGGCTGCAAACAAAGGAGGCAAAATTAGGGAAAGTGGGGGAGTGATTACATCAAAAGTCAAGATGCTGATTCCAGGGGTGGGGGCTGTGATCAGGAAGGGACACGCACAGGTGCCTTCTGGGATGCTGCCAAGGTTCTTTTTACTTGACTGAGTGCTGGTTACAAAGGTGCTCTTTGATAACGTTTAAATTTTTTAATGATTATTAAAATATATAAATGTTTTAGTTCATCATTTAAAATATATTTTAAATTTTTTTATTTTTATTTTTATTTTATTTATGTTTAGAGAGAGGGGAAGGGAGAAAGAAAGAAAGGAAGAGAAGTATCAATGTGTGGCTGCCCCCCCATACATCCCGCCCCTGGGGACCTGGCCCACAACCCAGGCATGTGCCCTGACTGGGAATCGAACCAGTGATCCCTTGGTTTGCAGGCTGGGCCTTGATCCACTGAGCCACAGCAGCCAGTGCCATCGTTTAAAATATTTTAAAAATTCAACTAGATTTCCTGTGTAAATTGCATAATCCAGTACTCAGAGCACAGGAAAAGTTTAGGAAACCTTGGTTGCCAGTTCTAATTGTTATGTCCTGTTTGCCTGCCTCCCCTGCCAGGCACCTCCAGGGCGATTCATCGTGTCTTCCATGTACACACAGAGCACTGCTCCTGCAAGTCTCAGGAGGGTGGGAGCAGTAGAGGTGACCAGAGCGTAACACACGTTTTTCCTCTCCCAGACTGGCAAGGAAACAGGGCCTGGGCCCATGACCTCACAGAGCCAGGCCAGCTCTGGAAAGAGCCCCAGTTGTCCCTCCCAGGCTGCCTGAGACCTTTGATGATGGATGAGAGGGAGGAAGATGATGAGGAGGAAGCCTGGCTGCAGCTTCGGCCCGTGGAGCCCTTGCCCTCCCAGTGCTGCGGCAGTGGCTGCTCACCATGCGTGTTCGACCTCTATAGCCGAGACCTGGCAAGGTGGGAGGCAGCCCGAGCAAGCAAGGACAGAGGCCTGCTAAGGGGGAAGGAGTCACAGGTAAGGGAGAGCTGCTCCTCAGACAAGAGGGCCAGGGTGGCAGCATCTATCTGGCCTTGACCCTGCACAGGGTACCTGCTCCGGGAAGCTTTCCCTGGCTCTACAGCAGAGAAGAGAGTGTGCTCAGTGGGAGCAGACAGAAAAGCCGGGCCCTGAGTTGGGTGTGGGGGAGTGATTGCGGGTGGGCATCTTACAGAAGAAAGAGATCCATGAGTTACGGCATTCAGAGATTCCTGGGGGAGGTGCAGTTGGGGTGGAATGTTCAGGGCAGTGGGCTGAGACCTAGAAAACAAGAATTTGAGTCCCTGTTCATGAGGTGACCTTGGACAAGTAAGTCACTACTGTAAATGCCTCACATGTAAAATAAGGGTATTAGATTTGATCATCTTTAAGGTCTCATTGATTTCTAAATTTTACAAATATGAATTTTAGCAGGTTTGAAAGATGGGTGGGTCATTCGTACATTAGAGATGAATGTTTTAGACAGTGGACCCAGCGTAAGCAAATAAAGGCTCACAGGTAGGAGGCAGTAGGTGTTCTGGGAGAGTGGAGAAGAGTCTGGCATCTGAGCATGGGAGGTCAAATGAGGTCTGAGGGTCATCCACAGGTCCCACAAGTGTCCAGTTAAGAAGCCCACACTTCATCCTGGGGCTGAGGGGAGCCATGGAAGGGGTAAGAGCAGGGTGAGCACAGTGTAAATTGCTTTGGCGTTGTTAGATCAGAGCGTGGAAGGGATGTAAGGTGGACTAGTCTCCACTGTAACAGAAGACTTCTCAGCTGGGGTGGTATCTCCTTGGGGAAAGTGGGAAGGTGCTTGTGGGTGCTTGCGTGTCTCTTGACCCCCAGCTTCTGGCTGTTGGATATTTTCCTATTGCAGAGCTGCCCCTCCAAACTGAGCCGAGAGACGTTCCTGGCCTTCCATATCAGTGCCATGGAAAAAGTCACTAAAGACACCTACCGTGTCCAGTTTGCGCTACCCGGAAACAGCCAGCTTGGCCTGCGGCCTGGCCAGCACCTCATCCTACGGTACACTCAGGAAGTGGGAGGATCAGTGCCTTGCAGCCCTGCCTTGCCATTTGCCAGCTGTGTGGTCTGAGCAACTGCTCGACCCCCCACTAGTCATCTTCGAAATAGACATAGTAATACGCAACTCAGGATTCTTGGGATGGAACCAGAGAATGCATTTTTTATAATAATGATAAGAGCAAACACTTTTATAGCACATACTGCCCAAGGCACAGTTCTGTTTGCTGGTACATATGAACTCATTTCCTCCTCACACAATCCTGTGTGGGAGGTAGTTACACCTGAGAAGAAACTGAAGTCGTAGGGGTTCAGTAACTTGCCTAAAGCCACACAGTTAGGAAGTGCTGGAGCCAGGATTCGAAGGCGACAGTGTGGCGCTAGAGCCGGTGGTGTAGCCCTAGTATGAGTAGCACCAGTGGGTAGAAACAACACTGTCACTGAGAACAAGGGACTTGCCCAAAGCACACAGCTAGTAATCATGGAGCCAGGGTTCAAAGTCAGACAGCCCAGCTCCTGAGTCACTCTCAGCCACTCCTCTGAAGTTCCTTCCTCCTCCTAGCCTACTTGTGTACTCTCCCTCCTGCCTCAGTCCCCACCTTTACCTGCCCAAGGATAAGACCCTTTGGGACCTCCCGATGGAGGCTTCTGCAGGCAGTTGACTCTGAGTATGAGGCTCAGCAGAGAGATCTAAGCTGCAGAGGTGGATATGGGAATCGTTAGCATATACCTGTATAGCATCTGGGAGCATGTGGCACGGAAAGAGGGAAAGGCGGGGAACCCAACCCTGTCTACTCTGGCATTTCCAGTATTGGCAAGAGGAGGAGCCAGCAGGGGAGACAGAAGGTGCAGACAGCAGATGGGGAAAACCAGGAGAGAGCATATTACTGGTCGCACTCTGGCCCCTTGCCTTGCACTGACCCCGGTGTTTGTGCCCAGCTTGTTCTGGCCTGTGGCTTGGCTGGCGGTCCTTACAGCTCACTGTTCCAGTGGATGGGAGGGGCCCCAGGGCAGGTCACAGCCCCTTGTGACCAACCATCCATAAAGCAGGACCTCCCTCCCTCTTCCCCACCCTCTCTGCCTCTCAAGTGACTCTCCTAACACATGCAGCTGACTCTGTCACTCCCTCTTCCAATACCTTCTGGTGCTCACTGGTGCCTCCCCAAAGACATCCTAGCCCAGCCTCCCAGCTTCCTTCCCACCAAGTTCTTCCCCCACTGCTGCGTGTTTGCCCCTGTTCTGGCCTCATGGATCCGTCCAGCAGTTCCTGCCGTATGTTATCCGACCTCAGCTTCTGCCCTGGCTGTTCTCCTGCCTGGAATTACTTCCCTTCTCACTTCCCCCATTCTCACCTGCCAGTGGCCTGCTCATCCTGTAAACCCCAGCTCCGGGAGGCCTCCGAGGTTCCTGGGGCCCCCAGAGAGGGTGGTTGCTCTCTCTACAGCATATCAGTTTTGCCTCTGTCGTAGCAAATGTCACCAGGCTCTTTGCATCCAAGTCATGTTATGTGTTCTCTTTATTCCCCCATTTGTTCCACAAGCATTTATTGAATATTTCTGTTCAGCCTCCATGCTTTTGATGCATTAGGATAGGGCCTTTTTAAAAATCTTTGCAAACATGGTAGAGCTTGAGAGAGGAGTTCTCAGGTGATTCTGAAAAGCCATGGGGAGTAGGGGCAACTTGGCTCTGCAGTCAGACAGAGCTACGTGCGGATTCTAGCTGTGTGACCTTGGGCAGGCGGCTTTCCTCCTCTAAGCCTTGTTTTTGCATTTGGGTCATTATTTGAATTCAGTAAGATGACACATACGATATACTCAGTGTGTAGTCGGCAGTTAAGACAGCAAGGCCGCTCTTGGCCCTGATGATCACCCCCTGTGACAGCGTTATGGTGAGGATTCGTGCATGGGGCCGGGCTCGGGCTAGGGCGCCCTCGAGGGCCCTTCCAATTCTGACGATCCTGGCACATGGTAGTAAGCGTTTAATAAACAACTTGTTAAAAACAGTTGTTTTTGTCTTCAGCATTCTATGGCTGACGAGAAGTCAGGAAAAAACCACAGTGATGGCCTAACAACAGCTACTTCATCAGTGTACTTCTTTTTTTTTTTAAGATTTTATTTATTTTTAGAGAAGGTAAGGGAGAGAGAAAGAGAGGAAGAGAAACATCATGTGGTTGTCTCTCATGCACTCCCTACTGGGGACCTGGCCTGTAACACAGGCATGTGCCCTGTCTGAGAATTGAACCAGCGACCCTTTGGTTCACAGGCCAGTGCTCAATCCACTGAGCCACACCACTCAGGGCCATCAGTATGCTTCTTGAAGCACTTTCCCTCTGTAACCCCTGTGGAACTACACAACAGGGACAAAGACGGTTGGCCTCATCTCACAGAAGGTGGAGCTAAGGGACTGCTGACCTGCCCAGGGGCTTACAGCCAGCATGTAGCAGGGGGACCTCAGTGCTTTTTTCCTGTGCCGTCTTGCTTTGCCCTTCAGTGAGGACCACTGGTGATGACCGACTCCACCTTCACCTTTACCAGCCTGGCAGAGTAGATACTTATATGGGTTTGTCGAATGACTGAGTGCTTCTCTTTCCCAGAGGGATAGTAGATGGCTTAGAAATTCAGAGAGCCTACACGCCAATCAGCCCTGCCAACGCAGAAGGATACTTTGAAGTTTTAATCAAGGTGAGCCAGAGCACACACTGCTCTAAGGGCTCCATGAATTCCCAGAGAAGGAGGCTGGCTTGAGGGAACAGTGGGGACAGCAAAGAGAGCCTTCTCCTGTCTCCTTTCCTGGTGAGGGGGCTGCCTGACCACCAGCAGAGGGCTTATTTCTGACAGGTTTTATGGAAACGAGGCTCAGACTGAGAAAGTTAAAGCCACTCCTTCCCATTTTCTTGCTGATGGAGACTGAGCGCTGAGTGAGGGGGATGGGAGGCCCAAGCTGCCTGGTACCTATTGTGTGGTAGACATGGGGGTCCAGATGCAACTGATTGTGTGCCTGTCCTCAGAGGAGCAGCCCAGAACAGTCCAATGTGACAGACACCAGGACGGGAGGCCCGCAGCTCGGGTGCTACAGCTGACGCACAGCAGGCTGGGCCTCTTAGCAGAAACATGGGTTTGAGCCGTATGTTCGGGAGAAGGAGTGGGGACCAGAGGGGTGATGTGGGAAGGAAGCTCTCTATGCTGGGAACAGCATGTAGGGTGGTAAAGGAGGCCTGACTGGGGAACTGTCCATCATTTGTCCTGGATCAGCAGGGGGCGTGGAGGACCAGCCTAACCTGAGATCACCTCTCGGGGACGTGGACAGGGGCCAGGGCATTTGAGCTGGGCCTTAAAGGCAGAGCAGAAATTGGCAGCGGCAAGGAATGGCATCCAGGCCAAGGGGGTGAATAAGCAGAGGCAGGCAGGGGCTAAACAGAACGGGGTCTCATGGGAACTATTCCCAGTCTGAATGGCAGGGGAAAGGGGCTTGTGGAGGCAGCCAAGTGGTGAGGAATTTGGCAGAGATGAGATGAACAAAGTGGGTTAGATACGAAATACCCCAGAGACCCAAAGAATAGGCACCGAATATATAAGAAGTCATGAAGGTCCAATTATGTGGAAAAGATAAATAGGCGGAACGGCACAGAATTGCTGCTACTCTAATAGTCGACTCACAGAAAGGGCAGTTTCGTGTGGGTTAACCTAACATGTGGCTCTAGATCATCATTTCCCAAATGGAATCCTAGGGAACACCAGTGTTTAGCTTTCACATCCTTTTATCTCCCTTGTAGGAGAGGAATTATTATCCCTATTTCATTGATAAGCAAACTGAGCCCCAGGAGAGCCCAAAGCTCCACAGCTAGTAAGAAGGATGGCTGGCAGCGAGCCCTGGCCTTCTGATGGCAGGACCCCAGCGCCGGCTCTGGCTTCTGCCTTCCCTGCCTGCCTTCGGAGCCCGAGTGTTTACTCCCTCACACATAACCTTGGATGGGATCCCTTCTCCACACAACTGTTTGTCTGGGAGATTCCACAAATCCTCTCCAAATGGCCTGCTTCCCCAGGCTGCTTGTCTGGGTGTGTTTCTGTTGAAAGGATAAGCCTGGAGACAGTTTTCTCCCAGCTGCAAGGCTGATTTTCTCCTTCGCTTACCGGAAAGCCTCTCTTAGAGGGATGCTCAATTATCCCTAAGCCCCTGGCTAGGAAGAGCTGGAAAAGATTGCACATTGGGAAGGTAGATGGGATATTTTTAGGTTTATCCTTTCTGGTACGAAGGAAGTAGGAACTCCCATTTCTCAGGCACTGTCTGGGCACCAGGCATGGCTTCTGGCTTTTTATTTCCCTAACCACCCTACAGAGTAGATCATGTTATCCCCATTTTACAGATGAAGAAGTTGATGCTCAGAGATGGTGTCATGGTCCCAAGGGCCCTTGAGTAACATAATTCCAAGTGGGAGAACAGAAGTTCCGTGTCGGTCCCGTTAACAAGTGTGTGTTGAGCAGGTTCTGTGGGGGCTGTGCCTCCAGGAGACCGGGCCAGGAAACACTGGCTGTGCTCTGAGACACGGCCTCCTGCAAGTTAGGAGAGCGGTAGCCTCCCTCCCAGACCTCTTCCCATTGACCCGAGGACTTCCCCTGCATTATGCATATGATGTCCAAGGAAGTCAGGGGTGGTACTGGAGGTGGCTGTGGATGCTTAAAAGCATGTCTGATGACCAAAGCCCAGTCTGGTTATAATCTCATCCCAAACACCCTTCCAGTCCTGTTACCCAGTGCTTCCCGCTCACCAATCCTGCTGTGTCCACTTGCTGTTCATGGCACATGACCTGGGCCGTTCTACCCTTGACCATACCACACTCGATGCCCAGAATCCTCTCTGCCTTCCTGCTCCTGTTCATTTCCAGTGAATTTGATTTTACCCAGTCTTCAAGGTCCTGCTCAAATGCTTCTTCCTCCAGGAAGATATCCTTGATCCTGCTCCATTGGAAGTGACATTAGTGTTCCCCTAGCACTTTATCCTTTTCATGAGTATTAGGGCATCTCTGCCTTGTGTATGTCTGAGACTTAAGTTCCTCCTAGATTGTGAGCTCCTTAAAGGCGGGTCCTGAATCTGATCAGTTCATTCATTCATTCAAATATTTGTCAAGTCTTTCCCATGGTTCAGGCACTGGCTACCTTCTTGGAGCTTCAGGCCCAGCTGTATCCCCTACAGCCTCAGCACGGTGCCCGGCATGGAGTAGGCAGGCCCCAGGAAGTGTAGATTGCCCTCCCCCCATGGAGGAACCCCCTTCACATCCTTCATGTTTTTTGTCCAGCCAGGAAACAGTGTAAGGTAATACAGGGATTTCAGATAAGTGGTCTACAAACTTTAGGAGCATTCACTCCCCAATTCACCACAGTCCCTACCCTTCCCTGCTGTCCTCTTACACTGAAACTGCTTGTTGTCATTAGTCATCTCGTACCCAGTTCTTCACTCATTTAGGGTACCTGTATGGGCCGTTGGTTATTTGAGTTTGAGACCTCTGTAGTCAGAGCTGGAGATCCTGTGGTCCTTATCCCGGCCTCACCATTTCCCTCCCGTGTACGCTTCTGAGCCTCATTTAAAAGTTGGGAATGACAATACCAATTTTGTGGGGTGATGAGGAGGGTTAAATGAGATAACACATGTAAAGCACTTAGCATTGCAGAAAGGGCTGCTGTGGTTTGTATCGGCAGCATGTGCCTGTCTCATTGAGGTCTCCCTGTGTTTGCTTCCAGTGCTACCAGACTGGGCTGATGTCCCGGTACATTGAGTCCTGGAGAGCAGGAGTCACAGCTTTCTGGCGAGGACCTTTTGGAGACTTCCTCTATAAACCCAACCAGGTTAGTGCCAGCACCCCAAATCCTCGGGGGACCCCTTCCAGCTGAGCCTCTAGGACTGCAGCTTTGGGTTTTGGGTTATAGAGCCTCACTATACCGTTCTTCCTGAACCCAGGAGTACCCTTGGGGTGGGATATGGGAGGAGGTGGAATAGGCACTAAGAAACAAAATTGTTTGCCTATGCCCCAGAAATGTCCGTGACGACCATTGCTTAGAAAATTCAGACTCATGTACTTGGTATTTGAAGCCCCTATCCCATCTTACCCTCAAATGTCTTTCCAGTTCTGAGACTGTAGAGACTGCCCCTAAATATGTCCCGTGGCTCACTGCTTGGGAGGCTGCTGCCTCTCAGCCCGAATGCTCTTCTCCTTATCTTCACGCTGTGTTCAGAGCCTTCCCTGAAGTTCCCAGGAAGAATTAACAATTTCTCATCAGTTGGCACATTTCTGGAAAGCAGTTTGGCAGTGTGAAGAGGCTTAAAAATTTTTAACCCAGTAACTGCACTTTTGGAAGTCTGTCCTGTGGAAGCAATCCAAAATTTTGCTGACTCTTGCACATGGTCCTTGCTGCTTTATTTATAATAGCAGGGAATTGGAGGTGACTGAGTGTTCAACAACAGGGGCACAGTTAGTGCTCTGGGTTACAAGTACTTAAAGGATATTTTCTTGGATTTTAAAATTATGTTAATAAATGATAATATGTGTTTATAGTATAAGATCAAGGGACAGACACTAGATACAAAACTGAGTGTACAGCAGGCTGAGAAGCTGAGGGAAAATGCACAGAAAAAATATAAAAAGAAAATAGCAGCTTTGGGTGATGAAATAGTGGGTAATTTTTATTTTCTTTGTTAGACTTTCTAAATTATCCACAGTGAACACCTATTACCTTTAAAATTAGGAAAACCAAGCAAAACAAAAACAAATGGAAAAGAATGAATCATTCCTTCCATTCTTTTTGTTTAATTTAAAAACAGCTCTTATTACTTTTTTCCTTATTACAAATGTAATACATGTTCATTACCCCCAAAATCAGCAGATATAGAGAGACAATCAGGAGAAAATAAAGGACACCTGCAGGCCATCTACCCAGACATATTGGTCGTACTACCTCGGCATGTACTCTTTCAAGCCCTCTTCCACACAGGGCCATATATACTAGTGTGCACACATATGTGTGTATAGTGACATCAGACATGTATGTGGCACCTCTTCTGAGCCAGGCTCTGATTTTAGTACTTACTCTGTAGTGACTCCTTTAATCCCCACCACCGCTCCTAGGTGCTGCTGCCCTCATCTTCCAGATGATGGAGGTGTGTGTATATTATGATTCTACAGTATTCTCCCAGTACTCACCATGCTGAGTCTGGCATGTTAGCTGAGCACGCCCCGTCCCCGGGCCCTTGAGAACAGGGACTGGGGATTTTCTGTTTCCTCCCAACCTCGAGGTGCACCTGGTGAAGGCCGTCTTGACCACCTTCTCCGGGTGGGGCCTCTCCATGCCTTGCGGCTGCTCCCGTGCACCCGCAGAACACTGCTGGGGAGCCCCTGCGTGTCTGCCTGGGGAGGCAGTAGGGCCCAGCAGTGAGGGAGGAGAGGGGGTCTTGCACACTAACGCTTGGGCCCTGCACTGTGGCTGAACTTGGCTCTGCCCCTCTGAGGAGGCTGGAGTGCACCAGCCTCGTCCCCAACCCTGTCTTGCTGCCCTGGACTTGTCTTCACTGCAGATGGGTGTCAACAGACACTGGCACGTTAGCATCTGTCTGTGCGCTCTTCCACCCAGGGCCAGGCCCTGGGTGGGTCTGGGGTCCCAAGATGGGTCAGACAAGGCCCCTGTCCTCCAGAAGCTCATGGTCCGATGGGCAGACACACAGACAGATGTGAACGACAGCATGGCCGGTGTAGTGAGGCAGGGTGCAGTGGGGGCTGTGGGGAAACAAGGAAGGACCCTTCACATGCCCCTGGCTCAGGGAAGGCTTCCCAGGGGAGAACCTGAGCAGCAGTGGGAGGGAGAGGAGGAGCAGGCTAGAGACAGGATGGTGGGCGAGCAGGAACTCCGGGTTGGGTGGTGTGGCTGGCAGTAAAGGTTCAGGAAGGGGACGGAATCTAATCGTTAAGCCCCAAGCCTCACCAGGCACTTAATGTCACCTCTTTTAATCCCCATGACAGTTCTGAGATAAGTTGCTATTATGGGAAGGTGCTGCTGTTGCTGTTGTTATTATTATTATTAATTATTTATTATTTATTATTATTACTTCACCAGGGAAGAAACCAAGGCTCAGACAGGAGAAAGCATTTGCCCAGAGCACGTGGCTGGGGATTTATGCCCAGACCTGTACGACTCCTGGCCCCCAGGAGGTAGTCCATGCAGTAATGTGTGTGTCAGGGCTGTCGGGGAAGCTAGTGGAGCTACCTGGGCTAGTGTATTGAAGCTGCTGGGCTGCATTCACAGAGGCCTGGTCTCTAGAGCGAGGGAGGTGGATACTTCACTGCATGGGTCAGGCACTAACCTGTAAGGCACTGACCATAAAGAGGCCCGCCTTTCTGTAAGAGGCCTAGAGACAGGAAATGGGTTCACCGGGGAGGGGCTGATGGAACTGGGGCCGCTTAGGGTGGAAGCTCAATTACTGCATGGCTCTTCTGTGCTAGGCACTTAAGTATTTATTTGGTCTAGAGTGGAGCAGTCTCAGGGTTCCAAGCCAGTGCCCTCAGATCTCTGCAAGCTGCCCTGGGGCAGAGGAAGCAGCCCAGAGGGCAGGGCTGGGGTCGGGGCAGTGGGGTGAGAGCAGGTTTGAGCTTAGCATGAGGTGGGAAGACCTCCCTGGCAAGGGAGTCAGTCCATAATAGAACAAACTGACTTGAGAGGGGGTGGACTGCCCGTCAGCAGAAGTATGCACAAGTCCAGTGGGGATGCTTTAGAAGGAAAACAAACCACTTATAGGATGGGCCACACCCTTACGCTCCCTTTCAGCCCCCAGATTCCATGATGTCTGTTACACAGACCTCACAAGCTATATAGACTTGAATGAGCAAATGGTTTCCTGGAGGAGGCAGAGAGGGAAACTCAGATGGATGAGCACCGGGAAGAGCCGTGCCATCTGGTTCCGGCAAGCCCAAGAAAAGGCCCCCTAGGGGGTGCGTGGGTGGGTGAGACCACCCCCAGCCCACTCTGTCACATGCCCACCCTGTTCCCCAGCACGGTGAGCTGCTCATGCTGGCTGCGGGCACCGGCCTGGCCCCCATGGTGCCCATCCTGCACAGCATCACGGAAAATGCGGACGACGAGACCTTTGTCACCCTGGTTGGCTGCTTCAAGACCTTTGAGGGCATCTACCTGAAAACCTTTCTGGAGGAGCAGGCCCGTTTCTGGAACATCCGCACCTTCTTCGTACTCAGCCAGGTAAACCCAGGGAGAGCACTTCCTTCCCTGAGTGAGACTCTACGGTCCCTTTGCACCTGTGGCCTTTGTGCCCCGTGCTGTAATAACAACCCTGCCGCTGGTGGGATCCCTTTCATCATGTGGGTGAGGAGACATGCTCAAGATGGTGACAGTGCCAGCCAGGGCCATGCTGCTAGCTGGGGCAGAGCCTGGATTTGAGCCTGGGGCTGTCTGGCTCCAGAGCTCCAGGTCTCACCCATCATGCTTTACTGCCCACCATCCGCCCACTGGCATCGTCAGCGGGGCGCCTGGTTGCGGAGTCAGTGGGCCAGGCCATGGAGTCCTTGAGGCAGAACCACCTTGAGGCAGATCCCCTCCTGGGATCACCACACTCTCCTCGGTGCTCAGCACAGGGCCAGGCGCAGGGTAGGCACCCTCCATCCAAGCTGCTGGAGGAGAGTGGGTCCGAGTTCACTGCATTCATGAGAGTGCCTGCCACGTCACTTTGCCCTGCCTGGGAGGAAAGCTGCTTCCAGCTCTCCAGGCCACAGACACTGTAGGCCAGGGGTATCAAACTCATTTTCACCAGGGGCCACATCAGCCTCGTGGTTGCCTTCAAAGGTCCCAATGTAATTTTGAGACTGTATAAATGTAACAGTTAAGCTACAGCTGGGCACTGCCACTGGGTAGAAACAAGGTAGAGGGCCAGATTCAGCCCGCAGGCCTCCTGCTTGCCACCTGTGCTCTCGGCGACTCTGCCCCCGACCCCTCTTCTCTCTGAGTCCTCATCCCCTCCTTCGCTCGGGCCTTCCCGGCGCCTCCTCTCTGGTCCATAGTGTGGAGCCCGTCATGCCCCTTATTGCCAACTTGGCCCTCAGCCCTCTGTTCACCTGCCTTCTCCTGGCTGGTAGCATTATTTCCCTTTCCTGCATCTCCTGGGTTGGAATGCTCTGGTATCACCTCCCTCCATTCTCTGTCTCTCAAGGTCAGCCTGCTCCTTGCCCTCCAGGTACTCACCTGTATGTGGGGAGACAGCCACAGGGGCTGCTGATAACGGCCCCCCCTTCAGAGCGCCCCCTTCAGAGCACTCTGTGCCTAGAGCTGTGCTAAGCATGTTTGTGTATTGGCTCATGCAGCCCCACACCACAATCTTAGGAGGTTTATACTGCCATCACACCTACTGTACAGATGTGGAAACTGAGGCACAGGGAGATTTAAGACCCTTGCCCAAAGTAACACAGTGAGTTGGTGGAGAGCTGGGTGTGAACCCTGGTGATCCTATTCCAGAGGCCCTGCTGTTATTGCCCATCAGTATAAGACAGCACAGAGATGGGTGCTGCTGAGGGTGTTCAGGATACTGCAGCAAGCAGGGAGGGCTTCACAGAGGAGGTGGCCTCCCAGCCTAGGCTTGTGGGTAGAGTGAAAGTTCACCAGCAATAGGGCCTACAGACCTGGGCTGGGGCTTGCTTGATGCCTGAGGCCTGGAATGTGGTAGGCAAGTGGGCTGGCCATCAATGGTGGGGGTGATGGAGTGAGAGGCACTCCTACCTGTCCATGCTCCCTCCACTCAGGATGCTCCCTCTCTTGTCTGCTGCCAGTGACAGCTTGAATCTTCAAGCATTCCCCTGCTCCAGCCACCCCGTATTGATTTGTCTTTCATCCTACCAATGGAAGGACCATACCACTGCCCTGCCCCGCTTGCAGCCCTTCCCTGGCTCCCTCTGTCTGGACAAAGTCCAAGCCTGCAGGGCCGTGCCAGTCCTTTGCGGCCTGTCTGTCTCCGAGCCCGCCCTCCCTGCATGCTGTGTTCTGGTGTCGCTGGTCTGCTTGTGGTTGCAGTGCTCGGTGCTTTCCTGGCTGCCCGGCCATTGCTCAGCTTTCCCCCTTGCCAAGAATACTCTCCCCCACTTCTCCACCCAACATTCACTCATCGCCACACCTCTCTGCTGAGGTTTAATTCCATTCCTGGTGCTTTCCCGGAGCCCCTGGGCTGGTGTCGGGGAGTCTGCGGTCACAGCCTGGGCCTCCTTCTCCACAGTGCCCACCCCGGTGCACCATCACTGCTCACCAGTCCCCACCTGTCCTGAGCAGTCGCCAGACCCAACTCATCTCTGGGTGTGCAGTTCAGGTGGGCTGCAGTTCAGGTGCAGTTCAGGTGGGTGTGCCCGAGGGAGTCAGGCAGTGGGAAGCGGGGGTGAGGCCAACGGCCCACCTCAACAACCCCCCAACCACCAGTCCTTGGCCTAGGGTGTGACAGAGCATGGAGGGGTCATCAGAGGGGGTCTCTGCCTGAACCGTGCTGTTCACAGAGGGCCCTCAGGGTCCCACGAGCTCTGGGAGGTGAGAGGCCTGCGCTCTCACCTCTGCCAGGTAGCTCCATCACCCCACACTTACCACGGTTGCTCAGAGAGGTCACTGTCACTCAGCCCGGAAGTGGCAGCAAAGCCCAAATTCCAACCCCAACCCCCTTCCTGCTTTTGCTGAGCCCCAGGAACAACTGGAACCTGCCTTCACAGGGTCTGCAGAGGTCTGAATGGTCCCATTCTGCAGGGGTTTCATTTGTTTCTGGTGCTGGTTACAGGAGTTCTCTTGGTTAACGTTCTTCAAGCTACATATACTCAATGATTTCTATATACATATGTTGTACTTCAGTAAAATGTTTACTTAGAAGAAACTCCCCCAAGTCAGCTAACGGTGGACCAGCTTTTCTTTTGTGACCCTGAGGCTGAAAGCCACACGCTGAGTCTAGAAGTGCAGTGAGAGCCAGGCCTGGGACCCTGGGGCACCTGCCTTTTTCTGTGGGACAAATAGACCTCTCTCCTGGTTAAGGCACTACTGCCCAGGACCCCGATACACAGGCAGGGTGAAGCCAGCAACTTCGCCTGTTCAGAGCAGCTGCCCTGTCCCCAGTGCCTAGCATAGTGCCAGGCACAGAGTGACTGCTCTGTAAATGTTGTTAAATCAACAAGCTGATGGAAACCCTAAAACAGATGGACTAAAGTTATGCTCCAGGGGTGATGGGCACAGACAACCTTGGAAAGATACTAGGGCGCCCACAGTAATGGGGAGAAAACATTTCCCCAGATGACAGGTACAGTGGCCCCCAGGAGGCCATGAGAAACAGTGGGACCTGAGTTCTAGGCCTGCCCCTGCCTTACTGTGTGCCCTGGGAAATGCCCCCCATGTGCCTCCCCTGTTGTAGGAGGGTAAGTGCCTGCCCAACGTGCTGGTGGCAAGGTTCTGAGTGCCAGCCTGAGCAGGCGCCTGGCCTGTGGTAGGGCTGGGTGAAGGTTGCCTTCCCACCCTCTCTGCCTCGGTTTCCTCATTTGGCAGAGAGCTGGCTATGTGAACTCCAAGGACCCCCCAGCAGTCACCCCCCTGTTTCTCATCACCCCAGGAGAGCTCCCCAGAGCAGCTACCCTGGAGTTACCGGGAGAAGACCCGCTTCGGCCGCCTGGCCCAGGACCTGGTTGAAGAGCTGGTTGGCTCCTGTCGGAGGAAGCCATTTGCCCTGGTCTGTGGCTCGGCCGAGTTCACCAAGGACATGGCCAGGTGCTTGCTGCGTGCAGGCCTGGCTGAGGACTCCTACTTCCTCTTCTAGGCCTGGCCTCCCTTCCAGAGCCCAGGCCAGGGGCCTGCCAGTGGGACGCAAGGAGGAGCACGGACAGGAATCATGAAACGTGGATGGAAGGCCACCACTGACTCGCCAGGCAGCCTTGGGTGTCTGTCTTTCCCTGTCCACACCACAGTTACTGTCTCCCTCAGGCCGGTCCTGCTGTGTGGAGGGTATGGGCTGCAGGGGCTCTGGGGGTGGAGGACCGTAACCAGCCTGGGAGTCAGGGAGGACGCCTGGTCCAGGACGGTGGGAGTTGGTAGGAGAAGGGGCTACAAGAGCTCCTCTGGTTCCTCAGCTTAGGGGGCTTGTGCAGGGCTCCTACCAGACCGTGCCCTGAATGTCTGCTCCAGAATCTGCTTCCCTGGAGACTGGTGTGCCCGGGGTCCTCAGGGCTGGCTCAGATGAGGTGTCTGTGAAGTGTCCAGGAGATGACCACAGGGGCGGCTGAGAGCTCTCTGGAGGAAGAGCTTGCCTTATGTACCTCCAGGCTGTGAGCCTGACACAGGGAAGGTCTTGGGCTCTGTGACCTGACCACCTTCTCAGAGCAAGGTGAGGCCCAAGTTACCCTTGTTTTGTATCGGCCCTAGGCCATTCCACTGCCAGTGACTTCACTCTCAGTCGCCCTTTCCTGGCTCTGGCTCCAGAGCCCAGCCCAGAGTCCTTTTTCCAGCCAAAGAGGCACAGTCAGAAACGCCCCTCCCTCCTGCAGGCAGCCAGCTCAGCCCTCCTTCAGCTCTGGTGCCCTGGTGATGGTTGCTATGGAGATCTAAAGATAGAGCAGGAGTCAGGAGACCTGGGTCCTTCTCCCTGCTCTGCCCACTGAGTGGAGGCTGATTCCATCCACCCACCCCCTCCGTCCTGCGTGGGGCATGCCCTCCCCAGGGAAGCCAGCGCCCCTGGGCAGCGCACTGCAGTTAATGAATTCTGCTTTCCACAGCCTGAGCCCCAGAGCGATGTGCCCGCTCAGGCTGGCTACAGGCATTCCCAGAATCAGAATATTAAGTCACAGATTCTCAGAATGAGAGAACCACAGAACCATGGAGTTAGAATTTTACAGTCATAGAATCACAGTCCTCATTGTATCAGAGATTCAGGTTCAGGACTCCAGAGAGCATCCAGTTGGCCAGACCCACTGTGTGCACGGGGAAACCAAGGCCCAGGGAGGCCAAGCGACCTGAAGACAGTGAGCAGTTCCCATCAGGTCCAGCCCCAGAAGCCAGGTCTCCCAGAGACAGCCCTGTGCTCAGAGCTCAGAGCCAGTGGTTTCCGTACTGGGCTCCACAGGACATGAGGGTTCCTGGCCCAGCAGCAGGGAAGGGACGGTTAGGTGGGGTCTCCAAGCCCGCCTTCCACCAGAGCAGTCTCATTTTTATCCCATTTATGTCTTAGGGCTTGGATTCATTTTCATTTGTGCAAAAAAGGTTTCCTTGTACTGCCTCAAAAGTTGCAACAAATCTCTGTACTGTGGCATGTTCAGTAAATAATCATGACAAGCAGTTGGGGGACAGTGCCAAAGGTGTCAGATTGTTTCACAGGCAGAGTTCCAGGTCAGGTACACGTGGGGATACGGAACGTGCCCCGCACCCAGAGCCCCATGAGCCCACACACATACACTAAAGGCTCTGGATGGTCTGGTGGTAAAGAGACTTTGTTTTCATTTTGTTGAATCCAGAGATTCCCAAGCTTGTTTAACCGTAGGACATTTTTATGCACTAGAATCTGTTGAGACCCACGACCCATGGAATACGCTTTGGGAAATGCCGATCTGTTGCAGAGCCTCTTTCAGCAGTGATGGGTGGGAGGCCCCTGCCCTGAGGCAGAGGTCCCAGCCTGTGGCTCGGGCAGGACTGGCTTCCTCCCTTGGGACTGCGGGAACCTGGGCGTCTTCCTTCCAGCTTCCTCTCCTTCGGTCAGCACATCCGACCCAGTCTCCTCACCAGTATTTCTGGAGGGCCTCCTGTGAGCCAGGCTCTGTTCCAGGCACCAAGGCAACGCAGTGAAAAGGCAGGTGCAGTTCTAGCAAGCGCCACCAGGGAGCCTACTGCCCAGATGGAGAGCAAAATTAAGTCAGTGGTTCTGAAAGGGATGAATGTTCCAGACGGGGAGATAGGGAGTGCTAGGAGAGTGGGGAGCAAGGGTTTGTGGCCCCACTCAGGAGAGGGCCAGGACACGCTTCCGCATGGAGTGTAGAGGCCTCAGAGGTAGTTTCTCACTCATAAGGGTGATAGGTAGGGGGTCCCTGCTTAAGGGGTAAGGAGTCCGGGGCAGTTCGTGCATGTGCCTTTGTCCCTTGTAGATATTGGATGTGCGGCTGTTAGAAAAGGCCACCCAGTGATAACCAGCAGCCTTCCCCCACCCTGCTGGTCCATCCGGCCTGGGTACCGGTGGGGTCTCTTACTATGGGCCGTTGGGAGGGCCCAGCCATGTCCTTGGTGCCTTGGTGTGAGGTCCCCGTCGGCTGGCCCGTACCTGCCGCCTCTGATAATGCCCCCACTGCGCATCCTGGGAGCCATGCTGTCGGGGCTCACAGCAAACGCAATGACTGCCTCACTGTGTGTGCCCGCATTGCTCCCCCAGCCTCCAGCCTCTCCCCGATGCCCCTCACACTGCAGCCAGACCGACTTTTTAATTGTGGTGAGAACACTTAACATGGGATCTACCCTCTTGACACACTTCTCAGTGTGCAGTGCATTGCTGTTGACCACAGGTGCGGACCTCCAGAGCGCATTCAGACCACCTTTTCTCTCTCCTAGGAACGGAGCCTGTCAGCCCCTTGCTCAGCCTCCTCCAGGGGCTGCCCTCTCCCCTCAGGACACTCAGCTCTGTTTACCTTCGCAGACTTGCTTTACGGTGCCTGCCAGCTCCTTGTCCCCGCCCCCAACTCTTATGTTCCCAGCCAGTTCTTTCGCATCAGTCATTCCCTTCACGTTCATTTGCTGCTCCCTCTGCCTGGTCTTGCCATCCTCCTGTCACCTCGGCCTCCTCGTCCTTCAAGGACTCAGCTCAGCACCGCCTTCTCTCGGAGGCCTTGCCTGCCTCTGCTGCCCCAGGCTAGGTTAGTGAGCAGTCCTGCCTCTCTCCTGTTGTCGCTCCTCTCAGAGCGTCCGGTTTGCAGTGAGTAGCAAGGGCCCCGCACCACGGCCTGGGCATTGAGTCTCGGGCGGGAGCGTGCTCAGCACATCCTGAATGTCGGCCACCTGAAACACAGACAGCTGATATTATCAGGGTGATTTACAGGTTGCAAAATGCTTTTTCATCTACACTGAAGCATGTAATTGTCACCCAAATGCATGCTATTTCAGTGCCCCGATTGCCTGATGAGGAAACTAACCTGCTGAGATGTTAGGCCGTTCTCCAAGGTCATGTAGGGGCACACAAGCTGTGACTGTTGCAATGGTCGTGCATGACACCTGAGTGCTCCAGGAGGTGTGTGTGAGGATTTTCACTGCTGCCCATTTGAAAGAGCAAAGAATGAAGAAATGCCTACTCTCCGTCAGATGGGGAATGGAGAAATGCACTGCTCTGGGGAGATTCATTAGCGGAGTACCATGCAGCAGTTCAAATGAATGAACAGGCCTGCGGGTAGCAACCTAGACCCCATCCTAAGAACGTAACGAGTGAAAGGCAATGGTAACAGGAAAGCTACGGTGAGATAACCATGTTTGGAAAGTTTAAAGACACTAAAGGGTACCAAACACTCAGGAAGGAGATCCAGGGACAGTGGTGGCCTCTGAGGGGACAGGGGAGGGGGCGAGGTGGGGTGGGTAGAGGGCTTTTGTCTTTGTCACTTTACTGTAAGAATGTGAGCCCTGACCGGTGTGACTCGGTGGGCGTTGTACCACAGGGCGAAGGGCTGCCTGGTGGGCTCTGGTTCGGGGCACGTGCCTGGGCTGTGGTGCTATCTCCTGTCAGGGCACATCTGAGAGGTGGCCGATTGAGCTTTCTCTCCCTCTTTTTCTCCCTCTTATCCCCTCTCTCTAAAGAGGAATAAATATAAAATCTTTTTTTAAAAAGAATATTTGAAATGAGTATGAGCAAATAGGAACATCTGGTGAATCTGGGTGGTGGGTTCCACCTTTTTTGTGTTGGAAATATTCCATAATTAAAGAAACTAGAGGCTTAAAAACATTCACTCTCTCTCCCCCACCTCAGGTTGCTATGTCCCTTTGTGCCCCCAAGGTTTTGTGTCTCCTTGGAAACACCTGTGAGCACCTACTGTGTGCCGCCTGGTCTAAACACAGCAGGATAGTGTAAACAATGTCCAGTGCTTGTAGTTTACGTGCAGTTCCTTCTACTCGTCCCTCTTCCCTTGCAAACTCAGACCAGAGTGACTTTCCAGGCACCACAGGCGGGATTCCTTTTCCCATCATTGACAAAAATGTTCCTTTTAATGTGCGGCGGGCCTGGGATTGTGTAAGTACTCAAAGCAGGTAACTCGGCCTCTCGGAGCCTCCGTTTTCTGTACACAAATGGAGGCAGCAGCAGGGGTGTGTGAGGGTGGCACCCCGCACGGAGCGCTGCGGGCCCGGGCCCCTCCTGTGCTTGTCCTGGCTGCCTCGGCCGCACCTGCCTCATGCCTGGCCTCTCAGGACAGCACCTGTTCTCAAACTTTTCACTGTCAGGGACTTCCCTTTTTCTCATTTTCCCCATGCTTTGGAAGATTTTTGATCCTAAATTGCATGTATTAAGTCATTATTTATCTCCCATTTCTTATTAATCAAAGACATAGATAGCTGCCCCTCCAAGCTTCTGATCTGTGCAGGCAGCTGGGAGAACGGGTGGGTGCTGTAATTCCAGCCAGAGGCAAAGCCTCTCAACAGCGTGTGTGGTCTGAGCGACCCGAGGAGGGTGAACGTAGGTGCGGCACGCTCCTTCTCTTTTAGCCGACCGTGAGCTGTGGAGTCTGCTGGCCTTGCCCAGGTGGGCGCTGCTTTTATAGGTAGATGAGCTGGCAGATGAGCTGGGGCTGAGTTTTCAGAGCCAGGCTTTAGCATGGGGCCCCATGGGGCTCAGACCCCTCACTCCACAGAGCTCACTCTGAATAAGTGGCGTGTACCAGCACCACACAAAAGAGTGTGGGGTTCACACAGTGGGAGGTGGCAAAGCCATCTGTGCACGAGTCCCACAGGCTCTGGCCCGAGACTACCACGTCACCCTGCCCCTTGCTGCCAATGGCGGCAGAGCTTGTATGGGGCGGGATGGCACCCTTGACCAGGGGTTGGATCTGGGCACTCAGCACTGCAGCAGGTGGGCACCCTGGGCTGGATGGCAGGCCGCACTGGCCAGCTTGGAGGGCGAGCGAGCCTGCATCACTTCCTCTGCCTGGATGCAGGGGAACTTCACCTCCAGCCTAGCCAGCCACAAGGGAACCTGGAAGGAGGAAAGGAGGGAGGTGATAGTGGGCAGTGTTTGCAACAAGGAACATAGAGTTTGGGCCTAGTGTGTTGAACACAGAGTCCCGAGTTGGAGCACACGACTGGGACACTGGGACAGAAAACAGAATGTAGAACCTGGAACATGAGAGGATGAGTATGCAGAGATTAACCTGGCTTCCTAGCGGCTCAGCCACAAGTGCCCTGGAGCTTGTGGCCCTGACTCCTCTCCCTCTTGCGCTGGCCCGCACCTGCTCCTGGACGGTGCTGATGGACCACAGAGGGCTCAGCAGGAGCTGCAGAGCTGTGGCCCAGCTCCCGAAGACATCCAGTTCTGTAAACACGAAAGTGAGTATGGAGGCAAGCAGCATTTACTGAGAGACTACTGAGTGCCAGTTTTCGTCTTCTGTGCCAGGCTGGGTTGGCCCTGCAGCTGGGAGGTGATTCAGGGAAGCATGGTAAGGGTGTGGGGGAGGAAACCCAACAAAGGGTGTGCTGAGGGGCAGGTTACGCCAGTTGGCAGCTGGAGCTTCTCTGTGGGGTCCGGCCATAAGACTGCTAAATGCTCTCGAACTCTCCAACCAAGGGGTGTATTTGTCCACCAACATCCATTATCCCTCAGGGGCTGAGCCTTGCTCCCTGTGTACCAGCTCTTGCATTTGTGGCTTCCCAGTGGTAGCTGCGTGCTTGGCAGCCAGAGATGCCCTCAGGCAGAGAGATGCAGGAAGCCTGGTGCACGTGGGAAATTTCTGCAGGTTCCTCCAGGTGATCTGGGCACGTCAACAGTGTCTGCTAAGTTATCTTGCTTCTCATCATCTTCAGAGAGCAGTAGCCTCCCTATTTTGTAGGCAGAGAAACAAAGGCTCAAGAGGTAAAGCAGCTGGTGGGGAAAGTGGTGTTCTTGCAGGAGGGCAGGCCTCTACCACGTGTCTGCTCCTACCCCACCACCCACCGAGTGTGACATCTGACCAGAGTATTGTGCTGGCATCTGCTGAATGAATGAATGAATGAATGAACGAATGACCTGGTGCAAGGCACAGGACCATGGGTTAGCTACCGCTCTCCTGTAAAATGCAGACAGGACTTTCTTTCCTCCCAGGCTCCTTTGAGGGATACAGGTGATTGTGTAAGTGAAGTGCCTACCCCTGTGCCTGGTCCTCAGTGGGGTCTCCATGTGTGTTAATTCCCTTCCTCCCTCTTGAAGCGCAGCAGGGGGTCTCTACCAAGATGTGACTACCTTCAGGGAGCTGCCCCTGAACCTCCAGATGAAGGGCCTCAGGGAACCCCCAGAATGTCTCTACTGGCTCCATCCAGCCAGTCCCGAAGCCTGTCCAGGTGTCCCCCACGTTAACTCAGCAAAGCATGGTGATAGCTTGCCCTACTTCCATGTTATTCCGGAGACAAACACACTCTCAATCTCTCTGTCTCCTGTTTTCAGCCTCGCCTTCCAGAGCTGCGCACTGCTCACAGAGACTCCTTTCTCGCCTCCCTTCGCTCCTCAGCCCACTGCCATCTGGCACCACCCTCCATGTGCTCTCGACAAGGTTCCTGGTACCCGGAGATTATTTTTCTGCAGCGTTCAGTGCGGTTGTCAATCCCCTCGTTTCTGGGCGTCAGTGTCCTCAATGGCGTAACAATTCCTGCCCCACCAGATTATTCTGAGGACTAAATAATGCCTCCATTCGGGTATTCAGCAAACATTTCTGAACACCTGCTGTGTGTGTGCAGGCTTTCTGCTGCCTCTGAAGACCTGACGTCAGAGGTGTCCAGTGGCCCAGGGGCACAGACGCGGTCATAACAAATGTGAGACAGCCTGGCACTCCGCCTGACACCTGGTGGACACTCAGCGACGTGGGGCTCTGTCTCCTTTTGGCCTTCTCCGGGTCTCCGAGAATGGGTGGGAAGAAGGGGTGGACTCGCTCTCTGAAGTTCCCTATAACTCGGATGGTCCGAGGCTCTGGTCCATCCTTCTCTGGTTTCTTGGCCCCTCCTCCACGGTGAGCCCATCTCTCTCACTCTGAGTTCCCACCTGAGCCTGCGTGCAGCCAGGAGGCCCCAGGGGCTGAGCATGGCAGGTTCTGTGTCTGGACTTTTTGGATTACGGCTGGTCCTTCTTCTTGATGGGGGACCAGAAGTACTGCTTCCCTGACCGGAATTTCAGTGGCCTGAGGGACAGTTTGGAGGGACCAGAGCTCTCAGTGAAGAAGGCTACAGGGGCTACTCCAGGCACCTACAACTTGTTACCCCAAGTCTGCACCAAGCTTAGTCCCCTTCTCCCACCTTGGCCCCCACGAGAGGCCTCCGCATGGGGAGCATCAGTGCCACGGGAAGAACACAGACTTTTGAGTGGTCCGATTGTGTCAAGGTTCTGCTCTGCCACTAAGCAGCCGTGTGACCTTGGGCAAATCATTTATTTCTCTGAAGTTCCATTTCCTCACTTGTAAATTAGGGATACTTTTACCCCATCTCTCAGCGGATCTTTGTTGAACACTTAATCTGCTCCATGGGCCCAATCACAGCAGTGATAAAATATAGATGTTTATTCTCAGTGGTCACGTGATGGTGGGAGACAGTAAACAGCTGGGAGTCTCCATCAGGGTAGCACTGCCCCCTGGGGCCTTGGGAATGTTGGGGGCACCAACACCTCCTCACAGAGCTGTGAGGATTAAGTGTGCACAAGTAGTGAGTATTGCCCTGGCACATAGTGGGTGTTCAATGCCTGTTGATAAATGAACTATTAAAAGCAATTCTCTCGGAGCCCTGATTACCAAACAGTGAAATAGAGCTGATAATCCTTACCTCACAGAGTCGTTATGAAGATTTCTAATTTTGTTTAAATTAATGAATTTAAGTTAGTAAGCAGAGCTTACTATATGCCATATACTCTTCTTCTAAATCCTTTGCAAATATGAATTCATTATTATTATTTTACAGATGAGGAAACTGAGACACAGAGGGGGAGGTTAAGGAACTTGCTCAAGGTCACATAGCTTGGATGTGGCCGGATATGAATGTACCTGGCAAACCTTGGGAGCTCAACAGTTGCTTTATTTTGTGTGGCGGGGAAGTCATAGGCTTGGTATCCAGCCGGGCAGGGAGCTCTGGAAGGCCCCCATGCGGAGCTGTTCTTGGTGCCCGAGGTCTGGGTGTGAATGTGTAGCTCAGGTGTGAGTGTGGTGGGAGGGACTGGAGGGCTGAGGACAGGAGGGCTCAGAGGTGGGAGGAGGAAGTAAAACCCCCCAGACGACAACACGGGGCCCCTACTCCTGAGACGGCCCCTGCAGCAGCCTCTCCTGAGACAGGGAAGGACTCCAAGGCAGTTTCCCCTAATGTATGAACTCCCTCTTACTGTTCCCGGAGAAACCCTGCTTCTTCTTGCTGGCACAGGAAAGAATTACAGGTGAAAGCTTGTTGGCACAAGCAAAGTTTATTAGTGCTGAGTTCTAATGGGACAGCAAAAGCAAGGTGGCCAGAGGCCGGGTGGCCAAAAAAGGGGTGGCCAGGGGCCAGCTGGCCAAACCACCCCCCAACCTGTGTAGCAAGAGAATCAAGAGGCCAAGAGAATGAGTCCTTTGTTCTGAGGACTTACGTAGTTGGTGGGATGGGGGTGAGAGAGTTACATTTTGATTGACGGGTAAAGG